TATAGAGTCAGCGAGTTTCATTGTTGTAAAATGTAAACACATATAGTTAGAAAATAATATCGTTAAATATCGACAAGGAACTCGTCAACCTTATTTTATTTTATTGTATATCAAAAATAGGTAATTTAAAGCCAAACATGTTAGTAATTACATTGAATAAGATAAGTGATAGATTTTTAGAAACCTATATTTTCAAATAGTTATAATTTTTAATATAAACTTTAAATTCTCTTACTTGTGGGAATGTTACCACACTTCCCTTCTGGTAACGAATTTTACATTATCATTGTTACTAAAAATACTTTTTACTACATATATTACTATAGTTCGTGCCAAATCGATTGAGAAAAACGGACTCAGACATGAGCCGAGTGTCAAAAGGCGTAACTTACAAAATCTCAATTTAGATGTGATAACAATATTTAAATATTGATATTATTCACACTTCTAGGTCAGTTCATATGTTTTGTTTCTTAAATAATATTGTCTGTGGTTCCTATAAACATCTTAAAATGTTACGGTACATCGCAAAAAATGTGTTATATGTTATATTTTAATTTATAAGTAACGCAGCAATTCATTTAATTAAACTAAGTTTGAATAAAAAGGCTTATTATAATACGAATTATGGATGATAATAACCCCTGGGAAGGGTGATCGCTACCAAGCTATTTCTAATTTGTCTTGTTAATTGTAAACATGATTGTAAGCTATTATTTGAAGAAGAAAAAAATAGTCCCGCTGGGTTTCTTGCTGGTTCTTCCCAGGACAGAGGTTTTTTGCGAACCAGTGGTAAATAAAAAATTGACTTTCAATAAGTATTGTTTATAATCTATATTGAATAAAAAAGTTTCTGTTTCTGTTTCAATAACAGTTTCATATTAAAAAATATATTTGAAGCAATTTAATCATCATATTGAGCTTTTGCAAAATCATCCTATTAAAATAAACAAAACGCGCGTTTCGTTAATTCGTTCTAAAAGAAACGTGACAATGGCAGCCAGAGATGCGTCACTTTTTTGGGCCAGTCCGCATGCACCGAATAAAAATTAAGTTCTTATATAATATTGAAAATAAAGTTTTATCTTTTGAATAAGTACGTATTTATTTCGTGTAGTTATAACTCGAATCTTTATATGTGTTATAAATTAATGCTTTTGTTGTTAAATGAATAAAGTACTTTATAACAATAGATGATTTTTCTTCTACAGCGATCTTATACATAACTTTTTAATAATAGTTAATAAATATATATTGTAACAATCATTATAAAAAATTATTAAAATATCATTATAAATAAAGAAAGTACTACATATAAAATGTGCCTATATATTGAAGGTTTGTCGTGTCTTTTTTCTCAATCGATTTGGCACGTACTATTATAACATGAAACATAACAATTACACAACACACACTCTTTTTCTCACTTAAAACTTTAATATAATCTTAGGCGTTTTGAGCAAAACAATGGCTATTTGCAAATTATGTCAGATTTAGTTCCCGGTACACTCAATGGCGGCGCTTCATATCGGCATGAAATTTTGTAGGGTATAAGTCCAGCGTACTTTTATATATGAAGGTGACCCCATTAATACACTATAAAAAATTATGAACACACACATACCAGAATTTTATTACTTTGAATATTAAAACGTAACAGGCGCCCGTATCGGTGATGACGAAGCCGATATTCGCTCGCAGTGGCCAAGCATCGCAGCTGCCGCAGCCACCGCCCGAATTGGACGACTTGTCGCACCTTGCCTAATCTGCGCACGCCGAGTTGGCCGACTTGTTGCATCTCACCTAAACAGCACACGCCCGAGTTGGACGACTTGTCGCACCCTCGCTTAATCTGCGCACGCCGAGTTGGCCGATTTGTCGCATCTCGCCTAACTTGCGTACGCCCGAGTTGGACGAATTATCGCACCTTCAACAACAATTGCACTGCGATCTTGTAACTTGTGAGAAATGTGGTTGGCTGTGTTTTGACGTATTTAACTTCCTTTTTTTGTGTATGTATTAATGCGTTGATTCAATAATTTTAACGTATCAAAATCCACAAGTGAACATAGCATCCCACATACATCATATATGCCGTAGTTGGCATGCTTGGGAAGCGGATTGGCAACCGCAGTTTTTTTCATGTTTATTATTAGGAAAATGCTGCTGCCTATCTCCGAGCTTGTTGCCTGCTTAAGACAGCTATGGGACGATATGGGGTAGTGGATATTCTACACTGCATGACACGGTTTTATAAGTGATGTCTATTTTATATTGATGTAGTTTAGTGTTATCATTAAAAATAAGACCCACCAGAGGTACACAGTCATACTGCCGTTCTGACTTTTACGAAATAATTTTTATAACCAATAGAATAAATGGAGGTTTTAGAATATCTTTTACGTAGGTATAAAACGCAGTTTTTAATTGTATGTTATTGTATACACTCCCACATCTGTTGCAATTAATTTAGGTATGTAAATCAAGAATGATGCCAATATTAGGCAAAACGTTAACAATTGATTTTCTCAGCGATTTTAAATATTATCACATGCTTCGATAAAAAACTTTGTGAAAAAATTAATGCCACCCTGTTATTTATCATATTATCATTATTTAAATATTTAACAAATACTAGAGTAACATCACCCATAGAACTATACTGCCGTCATAATGAAAAAAAGGCACAACTAACATTTTATAAATATGGAGAAAATCGAGTTTAATTTTGGCATAAGTAGTATTTTTATTATTACGAATAGAGGGCATAACTAACCAAATGTGCCTTTTCATTCTAACATTTTGTGTAAAAATATGAAATAATACAACGAAAGGGCACATTTATTAAAATGTGCCTTTTCATTATAATTATACAAACATAAAAGATAAGTGATAAAACATTGGAGGAATATTTATAAAACTTTTATTGAAAAAGTTAACAAAAATAATCGTCTCGAAACTTAAAAAAATAAATTAACTGTAACTTAACTTAACAAGTTAACATTAATTAACTGTTATTATCAGTCATCAAGGAACTTATTTGTTTTTTATTATGTAAAAATCACAGTAAAGATATTTGATTGGTTTCTAATTTAAGAAATAATGCTTGATATAAAATGCTAACGGTTGTTAAATATGGCACTTAACTTTTAAGGTTACCATAATTACAATAATTTCGACCATGTCCTATAATCAACATTTATCAAAAATAGAATAAACAAAAACTATTTCAAAAGTTCAAAAAAACTATCTTACAATAAAGTTATCACAATCGTCAAGGCACTTATAATTAGAACTTCCGTCAAAATGAGTACACTTAAAAAATTATCCGTCTTCATAAGTTTGAGTAAGATCAGCTGAGCTATCGTTTACGGGCAAGGTTTCCCAAAAATTCCTTCTATTAGTAGGCATAAGTGGACCAAGTTTAGTGAGTCTTTCACTCGTAATACCTCTCGGAACAAGTTTTTGGCGTGGTGCTGGAATGCCTTCTTTGAGATTTTTTAACTTAAGGAAATCTAATTCAAAGTACCCATCAGTTCCATAGCTATTTTTGTAAAATAATAAATTGAATCCTCTGCGAAAATTAGCCTCGGCAATTCCATTTATGTAAGCTCGAGGGCTGGAATTTTTTAATTTAAATATCGAAGAGCAGTCTTCAAAATCAAAAAAATCTTGAATAATCATCTTCTTAACTATTGTGTGAGAGCCAGTATTAGATACAGCTTTGCAGAAATCCTCAAAGTCCTAAATGCGTTTTTTTGTTTTAAGAGATCGTTCCACTCTGTGGTGGAATTCATCAGCAGCCATGAATGTATGACCAACTTCCAAATAGCGCAAAGTAATGCTTTCAAAACTAACTTCGGCAGAGTTTACCAAATATGTCAAATAAGAATAAAGTGTCCAATTTTTATTTTGTGCTGCACAGTTATCAAGCCACAAAATTACGTGCTTTAGGTCTCGGTTTTCTATAAAAAAAGCCCTGAAGCAATGTCCTCTTTTTTTCTGCCAGACATTCCTTCGTACCACAAAACGGCTAAAGTGTGACCAACTTCGTGTATTTTTTTGTCTCCTATCGGTACAAAGCTCTGGTTGAAAACAATAAGCCGCGGGCAGAACATCACTGTTTTGAATTCTTCCATACGTGGTAACATGATAACTTTTTCCAGGTCTACGGCAAAAATAAGAGTGTCGGCTTTATTCTTTTTCTGAGTCTGATTATCAGCATCTTCTTCGTACTTCTTGCGAGCTAAAATATACTTTTCATGATGTTCCTCATAATCTTTACATGCTTTACAACCTCTGTGTCTGATTTCTGAGTTAGGGTTATGAATTGTAAATTTTTCGCGTAGCTCACACTCCTCGTGGCCTAACTTGGCAAATGAGATATTAAGTTCTTTTACAATTTTTTTGTAAAAACCGTACGATACTTTCGTTTCAGGCACATTTTCACAGTAATGGTCATACATAATTCGAATACTGAGATCAGAAGGCAAATACTTTTTGTTAGGGGCATGTTCACGCCTGTAATGGGACACAGCAGGACGGAATGACATTATATGCTCCTTGATTTTAGTATTATCGATTTTTCTTGGATTTGAGTTGTGACCGCGACCATCAATGAGGGGTTCTGGGTACGATTTAGGATCATAATTACGATCAAGAATATTTCTTACAGCCTTACAATTATTTTTGTTGTAGCCTAGAGTGGTTAGGAAAAAAGTTTTGCATACTGGAATTTTGTCACCATTTTCATCTGCCAAAAAGTATGATATGGTTTTAGACCGTGTGTAATATTTACTTTCTTGGTCATCATTTTCTCTGTTTTTAGGTCTATCCGGTTTTGTTTGACTAGTATGACTCAAAAAGAAGCATTTTTGTTCCATCCATGTCATTTTTCGAAAATTGCTATTTACTATCTTGCGATACTCTTCTGAAAAACGTGCTGAACACTTTCTTGCAGATATCCTCGCGGCATCCAGGTTTTACAAAATATTTGAGTTTTATTTTTCCTCAGTCTTCAGTCTCTTTCGATCCTTTATGCTAACGTTATAATTTTTGCGCTTTCTAATAGTTCCTTTCTTAGTCAGTTGTACCGTTGTTTCTTCATCTGAGTATTCCGGTGATTCTAAAATTATTTTTTTTTGAAATTGGCTGCGAACATGGTATAAAGTCTTCTGAGTCAGAACCATCACTATCGCTGATTTTTCCCGTGCTTTTAGTAATTCGTAAGTTTTATCCAATACTAAGTAATCAGAATCAAAATCAGACCCTGTATCTAGCAAAGAGTGCGGCACCACAACATGCTCCGAGCTTGATGCTTGCACCGAGTTTTGAATGCCACTGCTTGTTGACGGCACGATAGACCACTTGGCTACAGAAATATCGTTGCGTAAAGCAGCACTAACTAATTTTGCACTTCGTGATTGCATAGTGCTGAAAAAAGAGTAAAGTTTATTTCGTAGTATTGTTTTTGATAAAAATAAACGGGAGGTAATATAAATTCCGTAAAAGTAAACTGACTCATTAATAAGCACGGGCAGTTATGAGACGTTTTACGAACACAGGCAAGGTTTTTTCGATTTCATGTCAGTGAATTCACGGGCAGAAGTCAGTTAACAAATAATTGCGAGTTTCGTATTCTAAATTATTAACGATACAGTATACCGACTAAAAATGTCATATTTTTTTAACTAAATCGCAATTAATCCCTCAAAAATTTCGTCAATAAATACTAGTAAATTCATATTACCGTGTCACAAAAGAAATTATACATAATAAAGGCATGCAAATAAGTAACTAAAACTTACCAGAACACCACAGACAAGCGTGGACTCACCGAGACACGTCAGGCATAACTGGCGGGATTCGCTTCGTACCTCGACCCCTTCACTTCACCTCTAGTCAAACATTTTTGGTAGCAAAGGCATAACTGGTAGTTGTGACTTTTCTTTTAAATTAAATGTTATGGTTTAGTATTGGTAAGCTTTAAATCTAAGAGCACAACTACCACATAAGCCTTTAATATGTAACGCAGACCAATTATGCCTTTCCTACTGAATAAATTACATTTATTGTGATACAAATAAAAGTCACATCCATGCATATGTGACCTTTTGACGTACTATAAGTCAGATGTGCTCCTTTTACGTACAAAAACTTAAAAAGTGGCTCAGTTGTGCCTTTTGAGCTAACGGTATTTCTGTTTATCTTGTTCCTAAAATTATACATAAAATATTGGCAGATGGACCTTTTTTTATGATTCCGAGTATGTAAAAATAACTCATTTTTGGAAAAAATGTTAGTTGTGCCCTTTTTTCTTATGACGGCAGTATAGCCGTCTCTTAATCAGGTCCATATCATACTTTATAATCCGTCTTCGCTACATAATTTATTAATCTGACATCTGTACTATTTTATTAAGTTAATTTCTGAAAACTGATTTCAAGTAAATCGACTTTTATTATATAGAAACTTATGTACTTTAAATGTACCATTCCTTGTCTTTTAATTATTCTTTTGTTTCATAATACATTATTTTAGTGACTACGTGGTGGCATTCTAGTGAGGGAGAGTACTGATCTTAAAACATAATTGATTTTAAATATATTATATTTTATACACTTGACTAAAATTAATTTTACGGATTTTAACGAGTTATATAAGAAGTAATCAATTATTTCTTATCTTAGCGTAAGACAAGTAAACAATAATTTTCTTTGCAGCTCTATAGTAGCCCTCTCAACATGATTTGTTATACACAGTAACGTAATATAAATTATTTTACTTTAAATTTTAAACAGCTTATTTGTTATAAAATTATGTTAAATTAAGTGTAATACAATAAATGGACATGCACTTGTCTATCAATATCATTTTGATTATAATACTATGTAAGTATAAACTTCATATAATAAAGACATTTGAAGGAAGTAACAATATATTTAATTACGATTTCCCCTTATGGTACCCACTGACTGTACGTCCATTAATCCAAATGGAGTGATAATCGTCCAAAATCGTACCGTGAATTGTAAAAACCTATTTCATTTGGATGGATTTCATCCAGCTCTGGATTTCCAAATGGATTGAAATCCATGCGTCCAGTCCAAATGGACGTCATCCACGGCCGTACGTCAATGTCAAAAACGTGCGCCACGCCAAATGGAAGCAGTCCGAATTGTCAGTGAATGGGCGAACCGGCGTCCATTTTTTGGACGTTATTGTGTCAGTTAATATTTTGGTGTTGATGGTGATACATGTGCTCTGTTTGTCAAACATAAACTGTGTATTGGATTAAATATATTTTTATTATGTAAAGTATAGGCTGTGATATGGTTGACAAACGAGTACACAGTCCACATGATGTTAAGTTGATACCGTAGCCCATAGACTGAATCTGTCATCGAATAAGATTCAAAATGTAAATGCATTGTCACCCCTGGTTCTTTACACTCAGCATACGAAACGCAGCACATTTAAGCTGCTATTTTGTGAGATCGTGGTCCTTTTTAGTTCGAGCCGACCCATTTGTGCTACAGCCATAATATAGATGCAACGTTGCTGTACCACGTATAGTTCTAATGAAAATATCCACTATATGTTTTTAATTTCTACTTCAGTCAACGATATTGCTCCACCATAATCTATACCATATCTAGAATGCACACAGTTCACCTGGTGGTGGGTGCTGTGGCCCATAGACATTTACACGTATCCTCAATTAAGTATCAAAATATAGATACGTTGTCATCTTTGAAGACTACGATGGTTTTTTGTCTTTTTAATGAAATACACGCTGCTGCAGTCACCAGTAAAGTATTATTATCCATATTATTATTTATTTCCATTCCGTACGACTGCCAAGTTCGAAGTGACGCTATGTGCAAACGGAAGTATCGTCAATGGTACCGTATCTGGATACAACTTTATTTGGCGTGCATCCATTTGGAAGTATACTAAATGGACGTATCGTCAGTGGGTACCTTTAGTATTTAAGTTAAGCTACAGCCAATATACGTTTCACTCTGGGCACAGGCCTCCTCTCATTTACTCCGTAGTAATTTTTCAATGTGATTAAACCATGCTGCAGCTATGTTATGATTGTAGTACGAATGGATCGGCTCGACCAGGGTTGCACCACACTCACGGAATACCAGCGTAAAATAGCAGCTTAACCAATTCAATGCAGAAACAAAGTTTGCTCTCACTAGCCAGATAGGGCTTGTTTTTAACGAAAACGACGATCGCACTTGATAAATAAAAATAACACGCCAATTGGCGTTTTCATCACTGTTGTGAATTTATTAACATCGAATCCATTAGGAATCTCTAGTAGTTCACTAAACTTGTTGCCGTAAGCATTATAAATAACTGGTGTAGGGATATCAGTTTATCAATTAATGATTAATTCTGTAATAATACCCTTTACCAAAAAGAGATGGTTGGACAAATTAGTCACACTTAAACTTAATGAAAGAAGAAGAAATACCATTCTCGATCGACCAAAACAAACGTGAACTCTCACCTTAGCAAGGTATGCCATAAGGCAAAAATTGCTTTAGGTACGTGCAGTCAATAAGGCCAACCAAAATACGGCTGCGGACAGACTAAAAAGTCTACAAAAAAATTGCATGCTTTGCTTAATAGCAACTGGAGCTATGTGATCATCGCCGTTCCGGCTTTAAACGTGGTAGAGCCACGCTGCAGCTATATTATGGTTGTAGCACGAATGGGTCGGCTCGTCTGGGGTAGGAACACGCTCTCACGGAATACCAGTGTAAAATAGCAGTATAATACTGCTGTGTATCGTATCGAGTGTAGAGATTCGGAGATATTTTACTGGAAACCAGGCCTTCCATCTTAGTCCTATGGAATGACAACGCATCTGCGTTTTGATTCTTAATTGAGGATACAGCATCCACACACCATCAGATGGACTATGTGCTCGTTTGTCACCCTTATTGTATAACAGAAAATCTTTATTTAGACAAGGAGGCGAAGGCTAGTTTGTATAGTTTGAGCTTGCTCTCCCACAGATTGAGATCCATGCTCGACTCAATTAAGGAAACACCGGTTTTATGCATGATCTCAGATATCATGCGTCCTCTATACACTTTAAAAAGTATAAATAGTGGGACTACCCTCCAGAGAAGACTAGCTGAATGACCAGGTTATCTATGAGGTCGGTAGCCTCACGTGGTATACCGATGGGTCATAAATGGGCCTCGACATAGGCTTTGGAATTTAAGGAGAACGCCCCAAATTCAAACTTAGTGTGAATTTGTGTAGATTTACCTCAATTCTCCAGGCAGACATTTTCGCCATACTTCAGTGTGCGGAAATCAATCTGCAAAAATACCGCATCAACCATATAATTTATATAAACTGATAGTCAAGCAGCACTGCTAGCGCTGAGGTCAAACTTAGTGATCTTGAAGCTAGTTGGAGACTATGTGAACCGTTTTAACCCCCTGGGATACAACAACAAGGTCGTCTTACATAAGATGGGTTCCGGGTCACGCGGGTATTGTAGGCAATGGTGTAAGTAAGGCTCAAAGAGTACACAATTTTGACCTGAGCCATTTTGTGGAATCTCAAGAAGCCTAGCTTGATTGACCATTGAAACTCTTTATCACAATAAATCACTTAAGATCTGGTCTAACACACCAGGCTTAAAACATTCTAAAACCTTAATCCGGGCCTTTTATCGTAAATTCGGTTCAGAAGCATTGGGATTAAGCAAAAATACATAGCGCATTTTGATAAGAGCCCTAACTGGGCACTGTTGTCTTAAAAAAGGCACATGTCTGCACTAAGTAACTCAAGGTTCTGCTCCATAACTAAAGAAACTCCTCTGTACATCCTAACTGATTGCAGACCTTAAACTACAACGATTTAGATCGCATTTACGATTCGAACCTGCATCTTCTAGTATGGATTGGTACTCCAGATGACACAGGTTCAAATCTTGCGCGCGGTCATTTGTCTTTGCACAAACCCGGTGATCTTGGGCAGTTCGGGCAACATTTAATTGTATCAACTGAAAAACCGAACTGAAAGTTTAGAACTTTACTTGCACTTGACTGTACATGCATCTGATGCATAATTTAAGATACAATATTAGTAATAATAGACACTTAACTAACTCACAATGTGTTTGCTTGGCTTGGCTTCAAATGGCTTATGCCTTATGTCAATCTTTATGAACATACGGCGGTCAGGCCAATTGCCCCGATTTTAATCCGGCTCGTAAGAACCAGAAATGGTTGGGCGACGGGCCTAGGGGTTCCTGAATTCGATTCCCAGGTCGGGCCTTGACCCTATTATGCGAGATGTTACTAGGTGGACCGTATGTGCGGCTTCCTGATACCCCAAAACAAGATGGCTGACGTGGCACGCGACAGCCTTGGACGATGCACTCGCTCTTCCT